AAAAAAAAATCATTTTAATGATGTATGTCACCTTTCTAGCTGCATAAAATGTTCAGTGATGTAAGTGCTGAACAGGTAGCTTATCCTGTTTTCCTTCCAGTGACCGTAACATTAATATGGTCAGTCTCATATTTTTAACGTTAGGATCTTAATGCGAACAAGTGTCTTTCTTTACCCAAATGTTGGTAATAGAAGCTCTAAACAAGCATTTGCTGTGGCGTGGTACAAAATAAGCCTGAGATCGAATGTTGGTATTTTGGGTTTATGAGCATCATGAGGCAGTTAAACAGCTACTAAAATAAGCTTTACTGTTAAGTGGTGAGTGTAACAAATGATAAAATTAAACAAATATACTTCATAGTACAGTTAGTCTGCCGCAGTTTGAACAAATTGCAGAACTTTCTGATGGTTTTCCCATTTCTAATTTCCATCATCTCCTTCTGATGGAACCCAAGATTTGGTTTTCCTTGGACAATTTAATGCTAGCTTCCTTTGCGATTTTCGATAACATTTGTCATATACTGGTACCTCCGTGAAACTGATTCTTTGTCTAGTTAAGATGTTATGAGTATTTGGTTAATTTTTTCTGCAGTTTGTTTCGAAATTCTTTTTATATCTCTGCTTGAGATTTGTTGCGTCGTTTTAGCTCTTCAGAATATGGCTTCATTATTTGTTTAATGATTCGGTTAAGATTTCTTTCGGTATATATGTGTTTAATGAATTCAGTTTACATAAACCCTTCTCTTACTACTTCTGATTTTGCCCGAACCATTGTTGATGTGCATTGGATGATTACTCATCTCGTTCGTTGCTTATGGCCAATCAATCCATCTTTTTGCAGAAAAGGCGCTGGGCAAGCTGCTGGAGTCTCTATTCGTGTTTCGGCTCGAACAAAAACAACAAACGTATTGGGCCTGCCGTTCTTATCCCCGAGCCCACTACACCCTCATCCGGGCCCAACCCACCCACTTCCGGGCCCGACCCACCTTTACAACAACCCCCATCAATCATGCTGCCTTTCATGGCGCCTCCTTCTTCACCCGTCTCCTTCATCCCATCTGAAGCCCCATCCCCGACTGGCATGCCGACTTCCATTGGGCCCTACTCCCCGAGTGGGCCGAATTCAATATTCTCCATTGGGCCCTATGCCCACGATACCCGGCCCGTTTCTCCCCCAGTCTTCTCCACCTTTACCACAGAGCCCTCTACTGCCCCTTACACTCCTCCGCCAGAGTCGGCCCATCTGACTACTCCCTCTTCCCCTGAGGTTCCGTTTGCTAGGCTTCTCGAGCCGAATATTCAGAGATACCCTTTCGCTCAATGCGAATTCCAGTCGTATCAGCTTCAGCCGGGCAGCCCGGTTAGCCACTTGATCTCGCCTTGCTCGGGCATATCAGGTTCGGGCACATCTTCGCCTTTTCCCGACCGTGAGTTTGCTGCCGCCCCAAGCTGCCCGTTTTTTCTCGAGTTCAGGACGGGCAATCCGCCAAAGCTTCTGGATCTTGAGAAGATCGTTCGGCGGGATCGTGAGAACTCAAGCGTGGGCCCGACTACAATTGGGCCCACGGTGGTGAATCACAAAGTGTCGATCGAGATAAAAGGTAATGAACTTGTTGAGTCTATTGAGAATGGCAAAGATCATAAAAGAGAAGAAAAAAGATCGAAAATGAAAGAAGAAGAAGCAGAAGCCTCGGATAACACCAGTGTTTTAAACGAGAAAAATCGTGCTGATGATGGTGATGACATTGAGAAAAAACGTGAAAAGACTCGGACAATCACACTTGGTTCGACCAAGGAATTTAATTTCGATGGTGTTGATGGGGGGAATTCGAATTCTGGTGAGCCACTGCGTATTGACTCGTCCGAGTGGTGGGTGAACGAGAAGGTTGCTGACGAGGATAGGGCTCGGGATAACCACTGGTTGTTTTTCCGTTTTTCGCAATGATTCAGACTGGAAGATGAAAAAAAAAGAAGTTCGAACTCGTGATCGAGAGTTTGGCAAAAATGTTTTTTCGTGCACTTACCGACACAGGAACAGCAGATAGCAGGTGACTTATATTTTGACGATTAGTCGATAGATGTAATATTACAATAGTACGATGCTCGGGACACGACATCTCTTGAAGGTTCGTCGTGTTTTAGGTATTTTTCGTGGTTTTTGTATATGTTAGATACTACATTATGTGTGTAGCTAGAACTGCCAGTGAAAAATGCTTCTCTGCTGCAATACTTACACAAGATATGATAAAATTTTAGAAGATGATGATTTTGATGCTTTCTCTTCATTTTTTCCTTTTGTTTTCTGAATAAAAACAGCATTTTGCTAAGGTCTATGAATTTGATGAGACAACTAACCCATAATTAAATTTATGAGGAAATTTGTTGGGTGGGTTAGGTGAGGCTCTTTAAAAGTTAAAACTCATTGGTTTGATGACAATAACATACTTGAATGAAAAAAATAAAATCGAAAATTGGATACATGTAACCATACAATAAATTATGGTGATCAAGTTGTGTTAAAAAAAATGTTTTTATAATTTTCCACTTTCTTTAAATCAAAATACAATTTAAATTTAATCAAACTCAATTTTTCTTCGATATTATTAAAATAATTAAATAATATTAATGAATCATCCTCACACGTCAAAATATCAAATCAACTTTAATTGATTATTTATCCAATCACGTAATTATAACTATAAGTTATTTCCAATCACTTTCTCTCATATTTTTAAATCAATTCAACTCTAACCATTATTATACAAATACAATATCTCATTCAATCAAATCAACTTTAATTAGGGTACAATTCAATATTTCACTCAAACGGTCAACCAACTTTAATTAGAAGGTTCTGAAAGTGAATTAGGGGTTTAATCCTTTAAAAAGTTAACACTTATGGGGTGATTGTTTATGGATTGGACTAGTTTTTATTTGATTTATTTTTTAACTATAGTTACTTTTGTAAAAAAAGTGGTATGGTTAGTTGTAAGTGGATATATTAAAATAATATTTAAATAAAATAATTAAAGTTGATTTGATGTAAAGTAGGAGAAAAATGATTGAAAGTGATAGTTACTTAGAATTATGTGAGTGGGTAAATAGTGAATTAAAGTTTTTTTTTTGTGTACAAAAAAGGAGGCTATGACAACCTATGGTAACCGAACGACGATGAGACACTCCCATCCGATCATGGAGTAACCACATGCTGGCCCTTGGGGGAAGATGCTCCAGTCTATGTAGCCCACCCGGACTTGAACTGCGAGTGACGCTAAATAATCCGCCACGAAATTAACTTTGCGATAACCATGGTGGATCTCGACCTCCCAAGGGCGATTCAAAAGTTCCCGAATTCTCCTGACTAGCCCGCCATGCTGGCCGGAATAATCGACCATCCTAATCATCTCGAGTATGCTCTTGTTATCAACCTCAATTTGACCCGACGCGCCCCAACGTCCCAGGCCAGTGATAAACCTTGAAAGAGCCCTCACAATTCGGCTCTAATAATGGAACAAAATCCTATGTTCATCATAAACCCTTGTACCTAGTTAACATGGTCGTAATAGTGAATTAAAGTTGATGTGATATGTAAGAATGATTGATTGATATTATTTAATTATATTGATAATATTGAGGATAGTGGACTTAGCTTTTTAAATCAAGAAAACTAACAATATTATTTTTTGGATGAGTGTAACACTATTTTTTGTTATCAAATATTTATTCGCCATTAGTTATTTACAAAACATATAAACACAATTAACTAATTTAGTTAGCCAGTTAAACATGCAGATATTGTCAGCTCTCTAATAATGTAATAACGAATTTATTAGACATACATTATTAGACATACACATAATGATTAGTTGGTCGTAGTTTTTAAACAAACTAGAACAAATCCCGTGCGATGCACGGTTAAGAAATATTTAGTAATATTTATAAATTAAAAATATTCATTTAATAATATTTATAAATTAAAAATATTGAATCAGCATGTTATACGATTTACCTATATTAATTAAATGAA